AGAAAAAACTGAGACCCAGTTATCAGTGCAAAGATAAACACAGTCAATCAAAGACAATCAAATCAAAGACAAACCAACACCACACTTAAGAAAAAAGCTTGAAGTATATTCCTTTAACTTCTCAGCTCTGCCAGTTCATCAAAGCATTTCACCGCAAAAATTTAATTCTGATGTATTTTTTGGTTAGAAGTATCAAAACATAACTGAATTATTTTCTTCCAACTCGTTTAAAGCAGAACATTTCTAAATCAGATAGATGTGGGGACGCTTTGGCCCTAATGACTAACAGTAGATCAAAAGCAAGCCTGACCTGTGGCTGCTGCCAAGAAGCACGAGTCTCTCTGCCTTCTGTAGAAACACCCCAAAGGAAGCGCCGGCTGTCAGGTAACACACATGTGCCGCATGTATCAGGCCCCTGGAAGCTGCAGGGAGAAGAGCGTCACCAGGTATCAGTGTGTGTTTGACCAGCTGTCAGTCAGTCAGTGCTTCTGTACCGAGAGAGTCTCCCATGGTGAGGATGGCCTTCTGCTGTACGGCGGGATCTCCCGTCTCATTGGAGAGCATCACAGCCAGATGGGGCCTCCAGTCACCCCACTTTTCATTTCCACAGCACTGGTAAGCAAACATCATCATTATTAGTCCTATTGGGCTTGGTGAAGTACTCACTAGTTCAATGCACTTTACCATAGATGCAGCTGGGATTCTCCCAGACAGGAGCTGGAACAGAGTCTGGAGGGGATCACTGGCTACTAGCTGGCTGGTAAACCTGTTAACAGAGCAGTTTGTGTCATTTCATGGATAGCAGCAGCAATAGCTTTAGTTTATCAGCCTGATGCACAAATTGACCCATTAGAACAGCAACCATTCTACGTGATTTTAAGAGTTAAAGTATTAGCTAAAAGTCTCATCCCTCCAGGTCAGTACGTAACGTTCTCACCTGCTCTCAATCCGTACTGTTTACCAGATGGTTGCCAGGTCAACTAATGCTAATGCTAAGCAAATTGCTTCCTAATCTCAGCAGGAAGTCTCAAAAGCTTGACCAATGTTCACCCTCTTTTAGCTACCATATTTTCTGGACTGTAGAGCACACCTCAGTATAAACCGCACCCACAATATATATATTTTTTTTTCAACCTGGAAACATATCGATATAAGCCGCACCAGTAGCCTAGTAAAGTAGCCCCACCCGCCAGAGGCTAAAATCATTTTTCCCTGAAAGTGATCTAGCCTCGATTAATACTCCAGGCCCTAAAACTAGCGGGCCAATCACAACGCAGAGATGTATTTTGAATTTCTGGATGCAAAGTGGGTTTTGAGGGCGTGACGACAAAGCTGCGCTAGAGAAAGCACAACAAGGAAGATGGCAACAACTATTAAACAGTTCTCGTTAGACTCAGCTTTGGAATCAGTTCTGGAAGGATTAGACTTGGGGTTTTTGTTGAAACGTGAGCAGGAAGAGGCTCTACGCTCATTAAATTTTAAGAAGTACGTATTCACCGTTTTACCGATAGGCTGTTTGTTTACACTCCCCCATCAGCTTTCTGTCACGCTTACTACGTCACAATCAGTTGCGCTCATTGGTCAGAGCATTGGTCGATAGGCACAGACATGGTTTGAAAAACAACGGGTTGTTCTCATCAACAATATTCCGATATCTGTGATAACTAAATTACACCTTAATCTCACATTTAGTCTGGCTACCGCACCAAGCTACAGTATAAACCACTGATATCTACTGAACTGTCCCCCAACCTGTAGGGGGAGCTCTACATATCACCCCAAATAACAATGCTAGCCGTATTGTTTAAAGCGTGGGGAAAAAGTAGCGACTTATAGTCCAGAAGATACGGTACTTTTTTTTCCTCTCCCTTGAATTTCAGAAATTTAACAGCATAAAGAAGTCCTTTCTCAGCTCTATCAGTTACTAGGCTTTCACCTGAGCAGTGGTGTCAAAAGTACACACATTTGTTACTTAAGTAGAAGTATAGATACTGCATTTTCAAAACACTCTGGTAAAAGTTGAAGTATCAACTTGACCTCTTTACTCAAGTAAAAGTGAAAAAGTATGTGCTCCTGAAACTACTTAAAGTATAAAAGTATAAAGTAACCTTTAAGAAAAAGGCCAGATGCCACTATATGAATTAAAAGCTAAATTTTTCGTCTATTTCAAAAAATTATTTGAGATAGGGCCAAGGATGAGGGAGGTCTTGTTGGTCTCCATCTCCTGATAGGCTACGCTCTCGCCTGTGTCCGACCTTTCAGACATTTCAACATCTTTTTCTGAATCCGACATTG